TATATATATTATAGATATCACTTTTAACTTCTATACGCTTTGGAAGTATTAGCCTCTGTTTAAAGATTATAAGGAACAACGTTTTACTGACTTTCATGACGTTTAAATGTTGACATGAAGAGGATTGTTCTTGTTTGTTCGTTTGGCATTTTTTGTAAAAACAAACTAAGTTGCAAATAAATAATTACAATCAAGTCCCACAGATCATTATTATCATTACTATCATTATAATTATTATTATCACCATTATTATTTTTATTATTGTTGTTGTTATCATTATATACCGTTCATTGATCAGCTGGTTCAGATCTAACGCATCTCAGTTCGGTGACCGGTTTGTGGGATTTACGATGCAGAAAACTGAAGGCGCAAAGGGCAAACGGTCATTGCTACACTTTACTCAGACGACAAAAAAACAGCAAAACAAGTTATAAAACTGTCACTCCAACTGTCATCCTAGGATGACAGACAATTTTCCTGATAAAATTACACATTAAATAGTTTGCCAAACAAAACCGAAAAATATATGCGTATAAAAAAATTCGCATCGTTAAAGATTCTGCTGATATATGAATATGTCGACCATATATGTTTTACATGAGATGTTTTTCACGATCGATCAAAATAAACGCATTGGAGGGGGTAAAATAAATCTTAAAGAAAGCCAACCATTGAGTCCGCCCAACAAAAGTCGCCGAAAATGCTCTGACGATTCAGTGTATTTGTCTACACCCAATTCTGCTTAGGAAGTTTTTAAACGTCTCTATGCTCTATTCTTTTATTCAAGCACCCTGCAGGATGAATGATATAACTCATGCTGCTTTTCTGCTGCGGTCAGTAATTTTTTTCCCCTCACAAAGCAATAACTTCCCATGATTGCAGCAACAGAACTTGATTTTTATACAGCAGCAGTGTCTTTAACATTAAACACAAAACATACAGAAAAATACTCCGTTTAATTAAAGCTGCGAATCATTTCCTGAACAAACTATTGTAAAGTCTACATTCAAAAGAAGCAACGAGAACATTACCGCACATCATGATTAAACTCTCCCTTCAAATTATTAAATCCGAAATTAGAGTAGGTTAGATTTGATCGAAGAACTACTCTATTGTAATAGTAGCAGACTATTTTTCCTCACCGAATATGTTTAACTGATTTAATATTTTCCTAGAATGTTTTTCTTCTTTCACTGACAGCTTAGAGTTAACAACATAACTTTATATATAACTTGTGCATTTTTCACTTCTTTTTATACCGACCCGTGGAGGAGCTGAGAGTGTAAAAAGTCACCGTGCTGTTCCAAAAACAACAAACCAAATCGTTTTCAAATTTCAGCAGTACAGTCGATCGGTAGGCGTAAAGGAGTTTAACATTCACTAAAACAACAGCAAAGAGAAAATATAATAGACAAAAATTCCCTGCGTACTCATCCTCATTATCCATGCCATTTCCTCTTGGAATATTATATGATAGTGCTGTTTCGATAGGCTAAAGTTTCCGTTTTCTTTCTTTTAGAATAAAATATCCTCAAGGGTGACATAGATGTCCCAAAACGCATTTGAGATCTAATTATATGAAAATGTTCAATATTTTTCCACTGAAAACTAAAACTGTGGTTGAATTGAAAGCACATGTTAATTATGATGTGATCTGCGCCAACTGACAATATGAAGAAATGCGGAAAATTAGACTTTGTGCTTTTCTGCTGCTCTTGTTGACAGTGGGTCTGCTTCTTCTAACAGGCCGGAGAAAACAGGCTACCACCCCATGGAGAACGTTACGTCAGAGTTTCTGACACTCGTGAGCGACACTAAGCTGTGCATTTAAACAAAGAAATATCAGCCCACTTTGTACCAAATAAAATCAAAGGATGATCTTTTAATCTGCTTTGTGGGCAACTTTTGTGTCCCTAAACCTAAAGCCTGACTGCTTGGATGATTTTGTGTTGTGGCTTCGTGGATTCGTGAGTAGGTGTTGTATACCGGAAAGAAACGATTAAATTGAGCTTAACTTTGTGCATTTTTTTCTCTTAAGCACTTCGTTGCTCATCTGTGAGACAGCAGTGACCTTAAACGACTATCGCCTGAGGAGAGCTTGGCGCATTGCGCCCTGGAAAAAAGAAATAAGCGGATGGGGGGGGAAGCGCAGTAGCCTGCACTTTGGTTGGTGTGTGCTTGCTCACAAGTGTCCCAAGAACATCTGGACTAAAGCCATATAAAGAATTTATAGGTAAGTTCCATGTGCGGAGACTTACATCCCAAATTGTTTTAAATGCTTCTGAAAAGAGGCCAAATATCCAGACTGGCATCTCCAAGTGCCATCTTTAAAATGTGCAATCAATAATCTATTTGTCAAGAAAGCAGAGCCTTTGCAATGATCATGAGTTATGCTGCTGACAAGATCTGTTCTTGTTTTGAAGCTGAATTTTTGTTCTTTTGAACAACAGCCTCGAGATTCTTTTACTTTTAATATTTTCGACTTTTTGCTGGAACGTTTAGTTTAAGAAATACGACGTAAAACGGGCGAAAACGACCTTCAGTCAGTCTCTGCAGTAATAATTTCTTACTATGATGGACAACTGAGATTTTCAGTTTGGCCAGGCGATTAGAGGCCTGCGTACGGTCAGCCTGAGTTTAGGTGAGTCTAAGCACAACTTCTGGAAGATCTTTATACAGTCTCCCATTGCGCTATCAATATGGTTATTCTAAAATTATTTTTTTCATATGACAGTATTGCATACATTTAATCCAAGTTTTGCTTTTCTTCAGCTTTTTTTAAATGATTGATTATTATCTTTCCGAAAGGACCAGCCGCCATGGCTTATCATTTTTAAGGAAAAAAGCCTTTTTCCTCGCCCGAATGACTTAATCGGTTCTAAATGTGTACTTTTCTTACTTGTTGGTATTTGAGTATAGCTTAATTACTGGACTGAACTCGAGTTTTCTACAAAATCTGATTTTGATTTTACCATTATAGCAGCGTTTTAAGAAACAAAGATTAATGTCAGTTTCTTCAGAAAACAATAACCTCTGTATTCGGTGTTTAGGGAAAAAAACTGCAATCATAGTTCGTAAGACTAAATTCTTATACTTGTGAACTGGGAAAACTTTCGAGCAGTCTGTCCTCATACCTCGGAGAACCTTAGAGGGGCGGTGCTGTCTTCTCTCCTCCTACCAGTTCTTGCTCTCACAACGGGAAAGGCTGGCTCGGGGCGTGCGCTCTTGCGTGCAGCTCCCAGAAATACTCGGAGGGGCGGAGGAGCGGGG